GGGGGGACTGCGCGGAAGGATGGCAGCGAGGCAGAACGCTGCGGGTTCCCGGGAGGGCGACGCCGGGACAGCCCAGGGCAGCCCCGCTGTGACCCGTGTCCCTGAACCGGCGAACCGTGGGGGAAGTGCAAAGAGGGGGAGGCAGATGGGACAGGCAGCGAGAGCCCAACCTAGGTATCCCTGGGATGTGTGACCTGTGGCTCTTCTGGGAGTGGGTCGCTGGGCACTTTCCCCCTGGGGGCCCAGCTCCTGCCCGCCAGTGTCCGGGGCTGCACCTCAGCTCTTCCGCTGGGCCATCATCTCCCTCGCCTGTCCGCACTAAGCCTAGTACTACTACACTGAACGAGCTGCCCCTGCAGCAAATCCAAAGCCCCAAGGCAGCACGGGTGCTCCTCAGGTCGTTGGACGCCTCTGCTTAGAGCCCAGGGTGGCCTAGCTGGCTGCTTTCCCCCCTGGGTTCTGGCTCCCACAGCCTTTTTAAACACTCTTCCTCTCATGCTGCCTAGTTTGCTCAGAGCCTGTTTTGGTTTGGTTTGGTTTTTGTTTTTTTGTTGTTTGTTTTGTTTTTTGGGGGGGGTATCAAAACTCAGGACTTTGCCCTTGGGAGACAGGCGGTGGCACCACTGAACCTGATTGTATGCTTCTTGCTCCTCCTGCTGAGTGGAGAGTAAGAGCGGGTACAGCTGTACCCCTCCTGCTGCTTACTGTGTGCCTAAAGCTCTTGTGTGATGCACAGATAGGGTGTTAGCCAGGGGTCTGTCCTGGGCCTCCAGTCTGCTGTTGTTGCACTCCTTATTCCTCTTCAGGCGTTCTGGGCTCTGCAGATTGGGTTTCTGTCTTCCTCTCACCCAGGAATGAGCAGGGACCCAGCCTCCAGGCCCTGTGTGCCATCCCAGCTTATTTTCTTAGCCGTTCTCAAGCACAAGGTCTTTACAACAACTTGTTTTCTTTCCAGTTCTCGAATTTGCTAGGTACTGTTTATCGGCGTGGAAACTTAAATTTCACCTGTGATGGGAATTCAGTTATCAGCCCGGTGGGGAACAGAGTCACTGTGTTTGATCTTAAGAAGTAAGTGTGTTCACGTGTGGCATTCCTGGAGCGGAGGCAGATGGTGCCCCTCACCTGCCTTCTTGTGGGACGCAGGCCCAGTGATGAGGGCAGCCCCAGAGCCTCAAACGTTTGTCAGGGTCATGGGTTAGCAGTGGAATTGCCTGCCACATGCCTGGTCATTCTTCTGGTGTCTCAGCTAGTCCTTTCCTGGTATCACCTGACTCAGTTACCGGGGAAGGGATCCTGCTTCTCCTGTGGGCAGGAGCTGCAGCTGGAGGTTAGCACCTGCCCGGCCCGGCTGTGAGGCAGCTGGACCCTGGCTTGCTCAGGGGGCCCTGGTGGTGGTGGGCTTCCCGGGTTAGGTGGGCAGTCCCCACCCAGAGGTCGATTTCGGTTGCTTAGGTTTAGCTGTGTTTTTCTGAAGGAACGGGTAGCTCTTTCCAGAGTTGCCAGGGAGGCTGTGGGCCAGTCCTGCAGCCTGGCAACACCCCTTTGTTTGGAGGCTTCCGGGTTCCTCTTGCCCTGCAGCTCCAGTTGGGTGGCCTTGGTCTGTTTCCCTGCCTGTGAGATGAGATGGGCAGCAGTACGTGGGGCCTGCTGGGCTCACCTGGCCGCAGCGATGACTGCTCCTGTCTTGTCCACGATGCCTAGAGGGAGGGTGAACTGCTGGCTGAGTGAAGTTCAGACGATAAAATACTAAAGCTAGAACCCAGACGTAGCTCATAGATGTGGACCTCATTGCTGCTGCTTGTTTTTCACTCTGTATTTTCTATTTCTTTGAAAACCCAGCTTCCTGTGCCTATGCTTTTGTGGTGAGTGTCGTGTGCTGGGCATGTAGCTTGTCTGGTTTCCTAGCTTTACATGGTACACAGCATCCTCAGGCACAAGTGTGTCTTGCCAGTCCTCCTCCAGGGACATTGTTGTGTCCCTTCCTCTGTCCTCTGTCTGGCACAGGGGTCCAGAGGTGTGGGACAGGCATGGCATGGAAAGGGGGCCTTGGAGGTGGGTAGGCTGCTGGGCCCAGGCTGACCCTGTCCCCTGGTCTAGTGACACAAAATGCACTGTACGTTATGGTCATCTTTTTCTCAGCAACAAATCCGATACCCTGCCCCTGGCCACGAGGTTCAACGTGAGGTGTGTGGGTCTGTCCCCTGATGGCCGGCTGGCCATCATCGTCGATGAAGGTGATCACCCTCCATCACCCGGTGTGGGCAGGGCGGAGAGATGAAGGTCAGGCCCTCCCAGGGTGGGCGCAGGCTGATGCTGCTGCCATCTCGGTGTCTTGGTCTGCCGGGGCTCAGGTGCAGGTACTTAGATGGGGTGGGCAGCTCCTCGCTGTTTCGGACACTTAGGCTCTGAGGTGAACATGTGCGTGTCTGGGGCTGCGTGATCCCTGTGTGGTCACGAAGTCCCACGCTGGCCTCTTGTCAGGGGGCGCTGCCCTGCTGGTCAGCCTGGTCTGTAGGTCCGTGCTACACCACTTCCACTTCAAGGGCTCCGTGCACAGTGTCTCCTTCTCCCCAGATGGCAGGTGAGAACCTCCGTGGCCAGGCCGACTTCCACATCCTCCTGCTGGGGCTGTGGGCATGTGGCCGGCCCGTATCTGCCCTGTCCTCTTCCCCACTGTCTTGGTCCTGCGGTGGAGGGACGCCTTAGGACCCCGGGTGGGTTGGGCCTGGCAGCTCTGTGCCGTCTGGGCTGCTGTGGGTCCTCACTGTTGAGCGCGTCCCTCCTCCTGCAGGAAGTTTGTTGTTACAAAGGGCAACATCGCTCAGATGTACCACGCCCCTGGGAAAAAGCGGGAATTCAATGCATTTGTCCTGGACAAAACCTACTTTGGGCCATATGATGAGACCACGTGCATTGACTGGACAGATGACTCCAGGTGAGGCCCTCCTCGATCCCGTGAGCCTCGTGTGCTGTGGGCCCCCCAGTGGAGATGTCATGTTTCCACGTGTGCTCTTGGGGGCTGGGGAGCTGCCAGATGCTGCCACTTCAAGGCCACCATTTGTGACCACCGGTGACTGACCCTACCCGGAAGATCCCTGTGGAGCTGCTGGCCTTTCTTCCCTTACTGTGTCTGGCCATGAGGGAAAGGCTGCTGGTACCTTGCCTTTGCTCGTCCAGGCTGCCAGGGAGACACAGGCTGTGTGTCTGTTGTCCCAGAGCCGTCCTGCCTCAGCTTGCAACACTGTTGGTGCCATTCACGGAGCCGGCTCAGATCAGGGTCTCAGGCTGCACCTGGGGCCCCTAAGGAGCTGCCTCTGTCCCTTGGGTGGCTGGCAGTGGATGCAGCAGTGATCCTTGCATAGTTCCCTTGGACCGGCCAACAAGGCCACATGGTGGTGGCCACTGTGCAACAGCTGTGTCCCTCGGTTCTAGGTGCTTTGTGGTTGGGAGTAAGGACATGTCCACCTGGGTGTTCGGAGCTGAGCGCTGGGACAACCTCATCTATTATGCGCTGGGCGGGCACAAGGATGCCATCGTGGCCTGCTTCTTTGAGTCCAACAGCCTGGATGTACGTCCTAGGCCCAGGATCCCCAGCCCAAGAGTGACCCACGGGCAACTGAGTGGCTGAGCCACAAGTCCCTTCCTGTTGAGCCAACTCTAGGCTGCTCCTAGGGTGCCTGGGGGACCTCTGGGGCCTGGTCCGGGAGTGGGGGTTAGTGGGTCTGGCCTGGGAGGCCAGCTGGAGAGTGGGTTCTTCTCCTGGAGGGGACCTGGGCGACCTGGGCGACCTGGGTGACCTGTGTGTCCCGTGTGTCCCCTGCAGCTGTACTCAATCAGCCAGGACGGAGCCCTTTGTGTGTGGCAGTGTGACACGCTGCCTGAGGGCCTGAGGCTGAAAGCCCCCGCTGGCTGGAAGGCGGACCTGCTGCAGCGGGAGCAGGAGGAAGAAGAGCGGGAAGAGGAGAATGAGAGAGAGACCACCATCCGAGGGAAGGCCACGCCAGCCGAGGAGGACAGGAAGGGGAAAGTGAAGTACCTGCGGCTGGCCAAGTAGGTCTCCAGGCGGGCGGAGGTGCGACTCGGTTGAGTGGGGGGGCTCCAGGGCCCAGTCCCACAGCCCCCACCCATCTGTTCAGGTACTTCTTCAACAAGGAAGGGGACTTCAACAACTTGACAGCCGCAGCCTATCACAAGAAGGCCCACCTCCTGGTCACAGGGTTTGCGTCTGGCGTCTTCCATCTGCACGAGCTCCCAGAGTTCAACCTCATCCACTCCCTGAGGTGAGCCCTCCTCAGGGCTCCACACACTCACCTGTACCCTGTACCCTGTACCCAGACAGGCTGGTGAGCCCCTCATTCTGGCCATGGACTTTAGTCTCAGCAGGATAGTTTTTTCTTTTCATGTGGCCCCAGGGGTTGAACCCAGGGAGCCTGAGCTACGTCCATGGCCCCTTTCAGGTTTTTATGTCAAGACAGGCTCTCACTACATGACATTGAGATCCTGCTGCCTCAGTGTCCGTATGGCTGAAGGTATAGGCGTGCATCACTGTGCTGGATGGCGTTTAAACTGTCCATCTCTGGAACACAGAGAAAGTTACGAGTGCTGCTGCACACAAGCTCTGGCGCTGAGCCTGGGGAGGAAAGAGGTGGCCATGTGTGCTGGATGCCCCTGCTCATCTGTCCTGCACTTTCCTTAGCATCTCAGACCAGAGGATCTCCTCCATCGCCATCAACAGCTCTGGAGACTGGATCGCCTTTGGCTGCTCAGGTTTGTTTCCTGGCCCGGCTGCAGCAGTGGACCCTGACGGGAGCCAGGGGTGTGGGGCTGCAGGAGGCATTGAGGTTCTCAGGGGTTTGCTCCGGAGTTCGGGAGCCCATGGGTCTTGCTGTAATCTTAGTCCCTGCTGAAGGCTGCCTCAGGGCCCCAGGCCTATGCCCTGCCCCTGCCAAGGCTGCTTTCTTGCCTGGTCCTCAGCCCTGGGGTCAGGGAATTGGTGGGCCTCTCTGCCCTGGTCTGGTCAGGGCAGGTGTGCCAGCCACCCTCTACCTGCAGGCCTGGGGCAGCTGCTGGTGTGGGAGTGGCAGAGCGAGTCCTATGTGCTCAAGCAGCAGGGCCACTTCAACAGCATGGTGTCGCTGGCCTACTCCCCTGACGGGCAGTACATCGTCACTGGCGGGGACGATGGCAAGGTAAGTTGGGTGGGGCTCAGATTCTAGGGAGAGGGCCTGGTGTGCACATGCTGCCCTTTCTGCACGGACAGTGTCCGTCACACTCCCTGTCACCTGCCTCTGTAGAGAGGGGAGGAAATGTTCTCAGAGCCTGTGCATGGGTCCTGGCCTCTGTGAGCCACCACGGCACAAGGTGAAGGAATACAGAAAGGGAGTGCGACGTAGAGTGAAGCTAAGTCTTGGAGCCTGATCAGTGCTGCTGATGGCAGCAAAGACAAGAACCCCCAAGCATGTCCACTTCACGGGTTTCCATGGCAGCCGTTGGGGGAGGGGCTGTGCGCTCCCACCGTGCCCGCTGACACGCGTGACATTTGAGTCACGTAGGGCTTCGGTCTTACTCCTGGTATAAAACGGTACAGCCGAATTATGGAAGGCAGGAAGGAGGTGCCACAGCCTGCGAGTACTGGGCAGGGACATCTGCTATACACCACCATGTGCCCTTGGTCCTCCCGGAAGGCTGCTCCCCTGGGTGGCTGTGCCCACCCACTTCCTGTGCCCTCACAGGTCAAGGTGTGGAACACCCTCAGTGGCTTCTGCTTCATCACTTTCACGGAGCACTCGAGTGGGGTCACTGGCGTGACTTTCACTGCCACTGGCTATGTCATCGTGAGCTCCTCCATGGACGGCACTGTGCGAGCCTTCGACCTTCACAGGTGAGGCTGGGGGTCTGGTGGTGAGGGTGGCATAGACCCCCTTGGGCTGCTGACCTGGGCCCGGCTTTCTTGGCAGGTACCGGAACTTTCGGACCTTCACGTCTCCCCGCCCCACCCAGTTTTCCTGCGTTGCTGTGGACTCTAGTGGGGAGATTGTCTCCGCGGGTGCCCAGGACTCCTTTGAGATCTTTGTGTGGTCCATGCAGACGGGCAGGCTCCTCGATGTAAGGGCCGTGTCCCACAGCCATGCTCTGCAGGGGCTGGGTGGCCAGGAGGGGTCACTCTGCTGCCTGGGGACAGTGTGGAGGGAGCTGGACGGGCCAGGGCATTGAGCAGCATGGCCGGGAGGCCTGGCCAGGGGGAGCGGCAGCCTCTCGTCACCATCAGCCCCACCCTCTCTCCCCACAGGTCTTGTCTGGTCACGAAGGCCCCATTAGTGGTCTGTGTTTTAACCCAATGAAGTCCATCCTGGCCAGCGCCTCCTGGGACAGGACAGTGCGCCTGTGGGACATGTTTGACAGCTGGAGGACTAAGGAGACGCTGACCCTCACTTCTGATGGTGAGCTGAAGCTGGGTGTCACTGCCGTGGTCCCACTCTGCTCTCCCTTCCCACTCCGCTGTGTTCGTAGTTGTGTGCTCGACCTGAGCCCAGTGTGGGGCAGGGGTGACCCCGTGCTGTGTGGGCCATGCTGCTGGGCCGCCTCCCGCGGCTCTCCGAGTTGCCTCTGAGTGGCATACTCTGTGCCCCCGGGAGAAAGATAAGGCTGCTTTTGGGTCCTGGCTGCCCCTCCTTTCTCAAGCCCCTGCAGGAAGTAACAGGATCAGCTCCCCGAGTCCCTCGTCGCTGTCCCCTCTGCACTGTCACTGCCCATGTCCCAAGCGAGCTTAGTGCCCGGCCTGTGGCCCCGTGTCGATTGGTCATGCCTTCTGGGCCCCGTCTACTAAGGTGGCCAGCGGAGCCCTTGCCTGCCAGGGTTGTTGCAGGACACTTTGTGTCTCCTGGACGTCCGCAGTGTTGCTCAGGCCTGAGGTGCTTTCTCCCTAGCCCTGGCTGTGACATTCCGGCCTGATGGCGCGGAGCTGGCCGTGGCCACACTGAGCTCGCAGATTACTTTCTGGGACCCTGAGAGCGCCGTGCAGACAGGCTCCATCGAGGGTAGGCGTGACCTCAAGACGGGCCGGAAGGAGCTGGACAAGATCACAGCCAAGCAGTCAGCCAAGGGCAAGTGAGTAGCGGTGCTGGTGGGCAGGTGGGGCACGGTGCGGACCAGGGCTGGCCTGCTCCCCTGCAGCTGGCTTCTGGGGCTGCCCCTTTCCGCTCTTGTGGGTGCAGCCCGCCTGCATCTGAGGTCCCAGCCCACAGGCCCAGTGGGGGAACGGGGCTTTGCTGGGTGAAGTGGGCACCAGGCTGTTCCAGACCTGTGTCGCCAGAGGTCATCCACCTGGTGCAGAGATGAGCACAGAGCCTCCCGGCCATCCTCAGCCAGCCCAGCCCACTGTGGGCACAGCAGGGCATCGGCAGGTGGCGAGCCTGGGCGTGTTCCCTGGGTCTGGGCCTGCCCCCGGAGCCTCCTGCACAGGGATGTGGTGGGGACACCGGGCTGGCCTCACCCCTGTGTGCAGTGGTTGTGTCTCTGCGGGTCCCCCAGGCTGTTGCCCTCATCCTCACCAGTGCCTGCCTGCTTCCCCCTCCTGGACCCTGTTTGGGGCGAAGTCTGGTCCTGGTCCGGGGTTGCCTCCCTTGCTGCTCGCTGGCTGATCGTGTCTCCTAGGGAAATGCTCTCGGGCCTCCTGCAGGCTTCCCAGCGGGGCCTGGTATCTGGCATGTGGAGAAATTTTTCCCCGTGCTGGGTGCTGTCTCCACCTCTTGGGGCATTCTAGACGACGCGAGGTTTAGGATTGGGAGCCTCTGGTTAGTCGTTCATCTGTCCTCCGTGGTGTCACATCTGAAGAGCTGTGCTGGCCCAGTTTCTGCAGGAGGCCCAGAGGGCTGCCTGTGGGTGCTGCAGGACCGCTCCCTTCTCCCTTCTCCCGAGCAGCGCCCGCTGCTGGAGGGCACAGTGAGGCCTCTCTAAGGGGAGTTCTCGAGCTGGTTCTCAAAGGGCTCTGAGCGCCGTGTCCACACCAGGGCCTTCACCACGCTGTGCTACTCGGCGGATGGCCAGAGCATCCTGGCGGGGGGCATGTCCAGGTTCGTGTGCCTCTACCACATCCGCGAGCAGATCCTGGTGAAGAGATTTGAGCTTTCCTGCAACTTCTCCCTGGATGCCATGGAGGTGAGTGGCAGTGCCAGGCAGGTGGGCACCAGTCCTGTCAGCACATGGGCCAGGGTATGGACTCCACCTGCCCAGGGCTCTGGGACAGGGAGTGCCGAGCCTGACAGCACAGGATGTGTGCAGAGTGCCCTGGCGATCTGCTAAGGGAGCAGCTGCCCTCGAGTGTGGGGCACGCATCCTGGGTGCCGGAGCTCCGTCCCTGCAGTGCTCATGGCTGTGGTGATGGCACTGGCCCCACCCCATCTGCACCTCCCCCGCAAGAAGCTTCGAGGTCGGGGCCCCAGCATCCCTCCGTCTCTGTCCCTGCGGGGGCACACAAGGGAGTGGGGTGATGATGACCACGTGCCCACAGCCCTTGCTATCCTAGGAGTTTCTGAACCGAAGAAAGATGACAGAGTTTGGCAACCTGGCACTCATTGACCAAGACGCTGGGGAGGAGGACAGCATCGCCATTCCGCTGCCAGGCGTGAGGAAAGGTGAGCAGAGGCCCTCTGCATCCTGTTCTGCAACACTTTCCAGCAGCAGCCATCGTTCTTGCTTGGGCTGTGGTGTGTGGCGTGGTAGCTGTTGCATGTTGTGGCGTGTGCAGGAGACCTGCCCAGAGGGCCCTATGCATTTGTTCTGGGACCCAGTGCCCCTCTGCTGCATGGGGGACCATCCCGACGGGGCAGCTGTTAGCCAGAATGCCGTGGGGCACCCTGGGGGGACCCATAGGCGCATCCCCAGGCTGGCAGGGCTCTTCTGCGGGCCTAGCCCCTTCATGTCTCTGGAGGCCAGTGGGGCTGAGGGCAGAAGCCAAGGCTGTCAGGGCAGCAGGGAGACTGCAGCCAGTTCCCTTTCCCAGGTGACATGAGTTCTCGCCACTTCAAGCCTGAAATCAGAGTGACTTCCCTGCACTTCTCTCCCACCGGTGAGCCTACATCACGGTGCCGATGTTGGCGGGCTCTGGACGGCGCTGTCCCGTTGGGTGGAAACAGGACAGAACCCAATGGCTGCCTGGTTACCTTTGTCCCTGAGGATGGACAGCCAGGGGATGTGGTCCTGCCCTCACAGGCCGGGTCCAGGGCTGAGCTCAGGGCGGCCTGCACTTCGCTGCTGTTGAGCGTCTCTCCCGCCTGCTTGCACCCGGACACGCGTGGGTCTGCCCAGCGGCGCCTTTGCTGCCCTTGGTCTCCGTGGCAGAGCGGTGTCAGCCAGCGCTCCACAGCAGGGTTGGGGAGGTGTGAGTGACTCCCACAGAGCGTCGCTGTGTCCTGGGAGCCCCACAACCTGGCCCATGGCCCCACCTCATATCTGCACCCTCCTGATCTTGCAGCTCAGGTTTTTCTGAGATGCAGCCACCTTTGTTTCCATGTTCTGCTTGCATCCACATCCTAGGCACAGTGGTGTGCGGCTGCCACAGGGACCACATGGCCCTGTAAGGCAGAGGATGTCGGGGCTCCTGTGGGCATCGGCGTGGCACTCCTCCCTGGGCAATAGCGTGTTCTCTGAGAGAACAGAAGGCAAGTTCACGCCTCTGCTGCTCACCCCAGGGCGCTGCTGGGCGGCCACCAGCACGGAGGGGCTCCTCATCTTCTCCCTGGACACCAGGATGCTCTTCGATCCCTACGAGCTGGACACCAGCGTCACCCCCGGGCGGGTCCGCGAGGCACTGCGGCAGGGGGAGTTCACCTGCGCTATCCTCATGGCCTTCCGGCTCAACGAGAGGACGCTGATGCAGGAGGCGCTGGAGGCTGTGCCCTGGGCCGAGAGTGAGTGTGCGGCGAGCGGTGGGCGGCACTGTCCCTCATGGTTTCTCTGTGGACAAACGCGCCCTGCTCCCCCTTGCAGTCGAAGTGGTCAGTGCATCTCTGCCTGAGCTGTATGTGGAGAAGCTGCTGGAGTTTCTAGCATCCTCCTTCGAGGTGTCACGGCACCTGGAGTTCTACCTCCTCTGGACACAGAAGCTACTCCTGCTGCACGGGCAGAAGCTGAAGTCCAGGTGCGGTGCCATTCTGCTGGTCGCCTCGAGGTCCTGTGCAACAGGCCCCACTCAGCAGCCTCTCCTTTCCAGGGCGGGGCAGCTGCTGCCTACGGTTCAGTTCCTGCAGAAGGGCATCCAGCGGCACCTGGACGACGTGGCCAAGCTGTGCGTGTGGTGGGGCTGGCGGGAGGGTCGGGGCTCATCCTGCCGTTCCATTTCCTGTGCTCCCTGTGTCACTCAACTGAGGACAGTCCTGTGTGTTAGGTGGGGCCTGGCCGGGAGCACGCGCCTGTGGCTGCTGCAGGCTGGTGGGAGACAGAAAGTGGATCATCTGGGCGGGGAGAGGACACCGGTGTGTCTGGTCCCTGTGGGGTGGGTGCAGGGCCAGGCTTTTGGGGGGAGCTGAGGCAGTGGACCCTTGTGCTGACCTGATGCTACGTGTCCATAGCTGCGACTGGAACCGCTACAACATCCAGTATGCCCTGGCAGTCTCTAGGCAGCGGGGCGTGAAGCGCACCCTGGAAGCAGCAGGGCCGGGGGAGGACACCGAGGCATCAGATGAGGACAGTCTGCACCTGCTCGGAGGCTCGGAGGATGAGGACGAAGAGGAGGCAATGCTGGCTTAGCCGGCACCTGCAGTGGAGACAAACCATGTGGGCGGTCTGGGCCCTGGACACAGGAAGGGCTGGGGGTGCCCTGAGACGCTGTTGTGGGGGACCCACTCTGCTGAGGCAGCCACTTGTGCAGTCCATGAGCCCAGCTGGCCTGGCAGAGCGGTGCATGGCAAGTCCAGGCTCTGGGTGGTAGGTAGTCCCTGCCCTTTTCCAGGGTCATGTTTGTGTGTTATTTATATTTTTAATACAAAGTCCTGGGGATGAACTCGGGAAATGCAAGAGTAAGTGTAAACTGAGTTCAAAGTGTTTATAACAGGCACTGAAGTGAGAAGCTAAGCGTCATACAGGGCCTGGGTGAGCAGTGTTGGACCCTGCAGGGGAACACGGCCACACTGAGGCAGGTCTGCCTCCCACCAGCCCGAGCCCTACCTGCCCACAGGGGTCTGAGAGTTCTCTAGACCCCACCCGCCTCCTGCTCCTGTAGGGATGAAGCTGATGCTGCCTCCCCCACTGGCCCAGGCCACACAGGCCAGGAGGGTGCACTGGAGCCAGGGTTGTCACAGCGCTCATACCTGGATGTCCAGCCTCCTGGTGTTTGCTCTGGGCTGCAGACCAGAGGTGTGGGGAGACAGCTCGGGCCTCAGTCCCAGCTTGCTTCTGCGCAGTACGTCATCAGCTGGAGCTGGGCAGTCCCTGGCTGGTCACCTGCTGTGCCCTTTAGAACGTGCGGTCACTGCAGCGCCAGGCCTCTTGGTGTTGTGTGTGCTTGGTACTGTGCCGCCCAGCAGGGCTGTGGGGGGTACACGTTGCAGCTGGGATGTGCAGTGGAAGCACAGCCTCCGTCCTGTGCTCCAGGCCAGCTGGCAGGATCATGGCTAAAGACCAGCAGGCCCTTCCATCCTCAGAGAGCAAAACCAACAGCATGCTTACTGCCTGTCTGCGGTGCTGCACTCATTTTTGTGGTGAAGGGGATTGAGCCCAGGTCCTCAGGCAAATGTGTCCAGCCCTAATATGTCCTGGGCATGAGTTTAAGCCCCTAGGCCAAAAGCAAGCTTCATACGCAGTTTGGTCCAGTTCCGCTGTCTCCCCACCCCTGCTTCCTCCAGGTCTCTACCTTATTCTGCTGCTCCCTGTCGACCCCGCACAGGTGGGGTGGACGTGCCACAGTGGCCCTCAGTCACAGCGCCACCTGGAACCCATGCTGCTTCAGCCCCCCCGCCCCCGAGCTTCCTGAACAAAGCCCACTAACTTCTGGCCTCCCCTCATCCCCACAGTTCCTGCTCCCCCAGACTGCTAAGTGGCACAAGCCACACACTCATGAACCACGAAAGGGGTGCTCCCCACCTTGGGGCGCTGTTGTTAAGGAGCGGACGCTCAGGACTCGAGTGTGGACACAGGTTTGGCAGTTATTTGGGGTATTCTGCCAAGATGGGTTAAAAATCCATTTGGAGGCATCTTCCGGCTCTGGGTCCACACTCGGTCAGGATAGCAGCCGCGACCTGTGTAGGGTCCCACGCTCCGGACGCCTTCCCGCCTGTGGTCACTGCGCAGGCGTGCTCTAGTCCATGAGTGCGCGGGCGCGGCTCCGCCCCCTCCGCCCCGCGTGACCCTTCGACCGTGCTGTCCCCGCGCGCCATGGCTGCAGTCAGGGCACTGGTGGTGCCGAGGCTGCTGGCGGCCTCCGCGCTCGCGCCGCTCCCCGGGCGCCTGCGTGCGCTCACTCCACGCGCGGCCCTGCACGGCTCCGCGCCGCTTTTCGGGGCCCGGGTGGCGCTGGTGAGTGCGCTGCTGTCCCTTCCCGCGGGGTCCCTCCCAGCTGTCCCGCGTCCCCACCCCCACGGGGTCCTTCCCCGTACCCTCGTCAGCGCCCTCCTCCCGCAGGTCCTGTCCGGTTGCGGAGTCTACGACGGGACCGAGATCCACGAGGCCTCGGCGTAAGTCCCGCTGGGCTTTCACCCAGAGAGGAAGCTTCTAAGTTACTGCTTTTTGTGGCGCAAGGGATTGAGACCCGGGCCTTTGTACTGAGCTCCGTAGCCAAAGCCCAACTTTTTTTTTTTTTTTTTTTTTAATTTTGGAACAAGGTCGCCATTGCTAAGTTGCCCACTTACAGTTCTCCTGCCTTGGGCTCCTAGAGTGCTTGGGTCACAGCTAGGTTTTTGTTTTGTTTTTGCCGTCCTGGGCCTTGAACCCCACCTTGCTGAGCTACATTCCCAGCCCTTTCTGTTTTGAGTCGGGGTCTCTAAATTGCCTAAGCTGGCCTCAGACTCACAATCCTCCTGCCTCTGTCTCCCGGGTATCTGGGACTATAGGTGTTCACCACCAGGCACGGTGCATAACCACTGAACCTCTCACTTCTGCAGTTTTCAGTGCACACAAACATTTACAAACAGTTAAAACATTGGGCTCACACTTAGGGGGCTTTGGCAAACCTTTCTTCCCCACGAGAATAGATTGCCCTCGCACTGGTCCTCAGCAGCGCGTCTTTCGCTGTCCTGCACCGTGGGGTCTCCATAGGCCATCTTGGCGTTGCTGTTTGTGTGCTGGTTCAGTAGAAAGGTTGAGTAGGGGTGGTGGGGTGTGACCATCCTGGCATATCATCTGCTTCCGCAGCCTCGGGCTCCTTGGCCACAGTGAAGCTCAGTCCACCGCACCTGTCCAGGCTATGGTTCTGCAGACAGCGGGTCTTGCCCTAGGCATTGCCCGTGTGCACCTGGAGGGGCCCCTGTGACTGCACGGGTGGGCACAGCAGCATGGCTGAGACCTCGCGGACAGCCGGAGGAGGCACTGTGTTTGTGGCGCCCAGTAACCAGGGCCAAATCCTGGCTGCCAGGTTCTGTTCTCATGGGCAGGATACTGTCCTTCCTGGCTAGGTTGGCTCCCCGTATAAAGTGTCTGAGAGCTGCATATTGCTGCTCTCCCCTTGCAGGCCCGTGTGGGCCTTTGGTGGAGACAGGGTCTTGCAGCAGCCTAGGAACCTGAGCAGCTCCAAGACTGCGTCCCTATCCCATGGTGCAGTTGGGACACATCGTCCACACAGCCTGCCCTGGGATTCTGCCCTGGCCACCGTAGGCAGTGAGCTGGAGCTGCAGGCATTTGGCTGTCCTTGGGTGATGTCCCAAACATAGGTTTACTCTAGCAGTCACTTAACCAAAACTCCTTTTGTAACAACTCCCGTGTGCAGTCAGTTGGCACTGTGCTAAACTGCTCTCTGTGGCTTCCTCCCACACAGGATCCTGGTGCACCTGAGCCGCGGAGGAGCGGAGGTCCAGATCTTTGCCCCTGACGTCGCTCAGATGCATGTGATCGACCACACCAGGGGACAGCCTTCCGAGAACGAGAGCAGGTACAGGCTGGGAGGGAAACGTGGAGCCCTGTCTGCGGCACAGCTCTGCGGCCTGAGGGTTCACCTGAGCCTCCCCGGGCTCAGACTGTGTGGCAGTGCTGGGGTGGCAGTGCTCACAGCCCTGGACTTGCCAGGTGGGGAGATACCATCACGCCATCCCCTGCTGGTAGAAAATGCATAGCTGCCACCTCGTTGCAAGGCGGAACTTTTCATCTGGTTCCCCTTGGTTACCTGTTTGGGCTCCACGTTCCTGTTAGTTCTAGCAGCCTGTCTGTTCCAAGGTGTGTGTGGCCCTGGCCCCTTTACCCTGACTGTGGACAGCAGCCCCTGTGGGGTGTCCCCGGTGCCCTCCAGCAGGGTTCAGATGGGGAGGGGAGGGAAAGGCACCACAGCTCTGTCCTCTGGTGCTGCCTGAGACCCCTGCAGTAGTCTGGTCCCCACCTGCCCAGTGCACAACGTGGGGTTGAAGAAAAACTTCAGACAAAGCTAAAGAGAAAGTGTGAAGTGGGATGGCCAGTGCTCCTTTGGCAAAAGGCCCTGGCCGGTCTCTTCCCCCGAATTTTATTGTTCATCAATCGGGGTAAAGGTGAGTGTATAGATGTGCAGTCTGTGAAGTTACCATGGAAACTAATGCAGGCAAGGCTTTAAAGAGAAGTCAAAGCGTTTTCAAGTTAGAGGCAAGACAGACAAAATGTACTGTTGCAATTGAGCATTGTCCTTCAGGCTGTGAAGGCGCTGTGGGGTGGAGTTTGGGTGCGATTCCTCCGGCTTCAGCCAGGGTGTTGTCTCACGTCAGCCTCGCAGGCTAGTGCTCCGGTCCCGGCCGTGGCCATGGTGGGGAGGGCACGTGGAGCTGTGAGCTCCTGAGATGCTCCTGTGGGTCACGGAGCTTCAGGCGGACTTGCTCCTTCCAGTGAGCCAGGAAGGGGTAAACGCTGCAGCCTGCACTGCTCACAGCATGCTTTGGGCAGAGTCCGTGTTGCAGGCTCTGGCTCTGCCCCTTCTGGCTTTGGAAGCTGCATCAGAGAACTGAGGTGGGATTGCTCTAGATTTCGGTTGATTCTTCTTCCTCTGTAACAGGCTGTTTGTAATTCAAGGTCAATGTTTCGCTGGATGTCATCAGTTTTTGTCCAGTTATCTATAAATGAGCAGTCTGAAAGAACGGGTCAGGACTATAGACCCAGCCACTGCACTGGAAATCAGCAGTACTCTTCCCCAGACGCGTCCCTCTTTTCACTTGAGCCAGACGAGTCCTTGGGTCTGCCACCTGCAGAATAGGCTGGCTTGTCAGTCTCTGTCTCGGTGGTGGCCTTGGTTGGCACCTCAGAGCAGAGCTGACCTTGGGCCCTGAGGGAAGTCGCTTAGACTCGGCCTCTGCATGGCTCTCGGTGGGGTGCCACGTGGTGCTGCTGTCTGGGGCCCCATCTCCATCCATGGCGCTCCCTCTGGATGGCATCCATAGCATTTCTCCATCGTCTGTCAAGACACAGTGCAAACCTTGGCCCAGGGTTACTGAGGTGGAGGGACTTTGCCAGGCCCTGGTCCGTGTGTCTCTCCAGACTCCCTGTGGCTGAACCTCAGTGGTGGGCACATTCTGAAGCCAGCAGCAGAGTTCAAAACATGTAAAACAAAAGATCTAATCTTGTTGGTGTGTGTGTGTGTGTGTGTGTGTGTGTGTGTGTGAATTCCCCTTTTGTTTGCTTAACTGATTTTTCAAACTTTGGTGTTTTAAACTGGCTGGCTACTGTTGCTTGTCCTTGGGGGGTTATGAGGTATACTTACCTGTGATCCCTTTTATGTGCCAGGTATGAAAAAACTGTTGAGTGACTTCACAAACGTATGAAGGTCTGTTATCTGTTTTTATGCTTTTTGGAACCCTGTGGCTGCAAAGGCAGACAAACAGTGCTGTTGGACATAAGGCTCTTTTCCCCAGCGTGGCAAGTAGCATGAATCATGTGAGAATAGGGTAGAAGCACGAACAAGTTGTGTTCTTCCAAATGTGGGGACATGAGTTGTGTCCATTTCCCACATCATATTGCTACTTGAGCCCCTGGGGTTACTCCCTTCTAGAGGCTTAGGTCGTGGGGTTTTTTTGACATGAACAGTGGGAACTCTTTTCAGAGCTTTAGAATTTTGGTGGAAGTAACAGTGTGATGTGATGTTCTAGCTTGCTCAAAAGCTGAAATATATCCAATTAGCACGTCAGCCTGATGATTACCATATGATAAAGGTCCACGTAAATTGGAATGTGATTGAATATGTTCAATAAAAAGGATGCTGTCAAGCCAGGCATGGTGGCGCACTCCTGTAATCCCAGCACTCGGGAGGCTGAGGCAGGAGGATCACTGTGAGTTCGAGACCAGCCTGGGCTACACAGTGAGTTCCAGGTCAGTCTCAACCACATAGTGAGACCCTGTCTCAAAAAAAAAAAAAAAAAAAAAAAAGGATGCTGTCTGTTTATGGATAGCTTTTTGTAATCTTAGAAATAAATTTAGTAATTTTGGTTCTGATGAGGAATGAACTATGGCATTTTCTAAGCACCGAGTTAAGTAAACTGCACAGGAGAAGTCGCTTACCATATTTAAGCTCGGGAAATTCTCTATTACATAAAGAATGGTTGTTGTTTGTTCAGCTCTGGGAGCTGAAAGGCCAGGCGTTAAAAGGACATGTTGAAAATTTTCACTCTGTATTGCTGCTTTCCCTTTAGAGGAGCTATCTGAAAAATGTCACTACTTCCTTAAGGGGTTGAAACTTGGTTATTACAGGGAGAATAAATTCATGTTGCATAAAAAATTGTAGCAAGGGGCCATTTGGATAATGATTATCAATTTGGCCAATAAAATCTGCAAATGCAACCTGCCAGTAGACGGCAGTCTAGCACCCCCTTGCATTTGTGCCTTTCTAATGACAAAATTATAAATTGAGGATCGAAGCCAGGTGTGGTGACGCACACCTGTAATCCCAGCACTTAGGAGGCTGAGGCAGGAGGATCGCTGTGAGTTGAGACCAGCTTTGGCTACATAGTGAGTTCCAGGTCAGTCTCAAGTACATAGTGAGGCCCTGTCTTAAAAAACAAAAACAAAAAAAAGAAATGGCAAATAAATATATGAAAAAAGGGTCACTTAAGATGAAAATTAAAACAACGCTGAGCTGGGCGTGGTGGCTCACACCTGTAATCCCAGCACTCGGGAGGCTGAGGCAGGAGGATCGCTGTGAGTTTGATACCAGCCTGGGCTACATGGTGAGTTCCTGGTAAATCTCAACTACATAGTGAGACCCTGTCTCAAAAAATCAATCAGTCAGTCAATCAAGGATCAAATGCAGATATTTGTCACGCCCTATTTCATCCTCTGGAAATGACCTTTGCAATTTGTTCCACATGCAATTGTAGTGTACTTAGCAATTGACTAGGTAAAACCACTCCATAGGGAAACTTGTTTGGTACCGGGGATCGAACTCAGGACCTTGCACTTGCCAGGCAGGTGGCGGCACCACTGAGCTAAATCCCCAAGTCCATGATTCTAAACACCTGTCGACCATGAACGCATCCCTCAGCTGTAACCCTTGTTGTGCCTCTGCAATGAAGCCGTCTCGTTGAGCTGTGGGCATGCTTCCTTTGGGCCACCCGTCCCAGGGTGACTGACCCTTTTATCCCGTGATCTTCCCAGGAATGTTTTGGCCGAGTCCGCAAGGATTGCCCGAGGCAAGATCAGCAGCCTGGCCCAGCTCAGTGCAGCCAACCACGACGCAGCTATCTTCCCTGGAGGCTTCGGAGCTGCCAAAAACCTGTGCGTGAGCGAGCTCCCGGTTTAGACAGTGCGTGTGGAGGGGCGGCCTTGCCTGTGTTGGCTCTTTGCTTCTCTGCTGGCTTCTGGCACCCGACAAGCCGCATGGGGCAGAGCCCTCTCAGCTAACCCATCCTGGCCTCTCTTCTGGGAAATCTGTTCGTCCCTCACCGCGGCCAGTTCCCCACAAAAGCTGTAGCAGGAGACACTGCCTTCCTTGTTAGGTGCTCTTGTGTGGTGGCTGGGGCAAGGGCCTCTTTTGCCGTCCTGTTGCTGCAGGAAGTGGCTTATGGATGTGGGACCTGGCCGAGTCCTCATTAGGCTTCCTGGACTCTCTCCCTTCTGTGTGTGTGGCGATTCTGGTGCCGACCTCAGCAATGAGTGCCTGCCTCTTGGCAGCGTGTGGCCAGTTCCCTCAGAGCAGAGCCTGTCCTCTCAGGGGACTTTTGCAGGGTCCGTAGGGCTGTTGCAGGATGGGAAGACGAGGGGTGCTTCCCATGCCGTGATGTGTCGGCCCTCGCGCCTCACCTGTGCCTGGTGACTGCCCTGCAGGAGAGAAGCCTGGGGCGTTGCTGCCAGCCAGGCCTCCCTCTCTGCTGCTGCGGTGGGCCTGAGCTGGACTCCCCAGGTGCTCCAGCCTGCTGCCCTCCAGCTTCTCTCCCTCCCACCTGCCCTGCCCCTCACCCACTGATCCATTGGGTCCTGAGGCGCTGTGCGCACGGGTTCTGTCCTGGCCAGCTGCTTTGGCTCCTTTTCCCGTGGTCAGCGACACGTTAACCTGGCAGAGGGGCTTTGTTCGCCGTGGTGTATCCGATCGTGCCTGCCTTGTTCCGAAGCCTCCAGCATCCTGTCCGCCAATGTCAGGACCAAGGGGTACCTTCCCAAGACTCTGGGCCGTGTAGTGATGCCACATCCCCGTCTCCCCCGCATCTGCACCAGGGTCCAGGGTCGGGTGGTTTCTCTCTCACTCCTGCCAGGGCAGGATGAGATGGGGCATCAGCAGATTTCTCACTCCAGCAGGTGCAGGGTCCCTTCGGAAGATCAGCTGTGTTCTCAGGTGCTTCTCTCACCTAGAGGTGGTTTTCTGGGGCTGTGTCTCCTCTTGCGGCTGCTGCCCACTTTGCTTAGAAGCTCAGGCAGGCAGGCAGTGGCTGTCAGCCTCAGTCCCGAAACGTGCCTGAGCACGTAGTCCTCTGGGGGCCACTCCCACTCTCCCAACCTGTGCAGGGGAGAGGCAGCCCCAGAGGCTAGGTTCCGGCTGAGCGTGATGATTGCCAAGCCAGTGGTTCCTCTGAGATCCTGCAGCTGTCCCTGCAGAGGCCCCGGGAATCGGGGTGACAGTGACTGGGCTTAGTGCATGCACCAGGCAGCAGGTGATGTCTTCATGTGAGGGCATCCAGGGAGGGGCTCACCCTGGGAGTTCGGCTCTCTCTGCCTCTGAGCCAGCCGCTCCGCCCTGGCTCCGGCTTCAAGCACTCCATGGTGTCCTGTGGGTGGGCGTGGCTGGGACGTGGCTGCACGGGGGCCTGCAGGCTTCGTTCTGTGCTGGTTTTTGTGACAGGTCCAGTGTGGAGCTGGCCTGGGAACTGCTCAACCATGCACAGACTACTGGGGGACAAGCTGGTTCCCTCTGTTGGCTGCTTGGTGACTTCCAGTGTCATCTTGCTCATTCTTAGTAGCATCGGGAGGTGTTCTTGGCCCTGTCACCACCTCAGGATGGTTGGGCCTCACCCTGAGAATTCCAGGCTTGGGGACAAATGCCGAAACTGTCCTAAAACGGAGGTGCAGGACTAGAGAGGACAAGAGACAGGAAGTGGTGTTCGTGCTGGGAAGCTTACAAGCGTTTTGCTCTGAGGGGTTCTCTGTGAGGTCACCTACCCCACAACAGCAAGGAGAACTCCCCTCCCTGCTCCAGGCTTTTGATCTTCACACCTGAGGGCAAAACAGATGGAACCTCAAGGTCTTCTCTTCATTGTTGCTAAAGCCAGCACCTTTTGCTGTTTGTGGGCCGGTCACGTTTCCTTTCCTGAAAGTCAGGCGCTTGCACCTGGAGCCAAGACCCCAGACTGGCCAGCCTGGGCCTGGTGACCTTCTGCTGCCTCTCACCGTTCCTGCTAGTCTGTTTGAAAACCAAAGGAAGCTGTGTGTGAACAGCACGGTTACAGGAAGGGGTGCACGTGCACCCACGCAGGTTCCCTGGAGTTAGCCGGGCCAGTGCTAGGGCTCTGGGGTGCTGTGGGGCGCAGAGGAGCTGGGGGTGGAAGCAGAGGCGGCTGAGGCAAGGCTGTCCTCTGCTGGCAGGAGCACATTCGCTGTGGACGGGAAGGACTGCAGAGTCAACGAGGATGTGGCGCGCGTCCTGAAGGAGTTCCACGCGGCCGGGAAGCCCATCGGGTACGTCCAGCTGCAGGGCTGGGGCCAGGAACTGTCTGCTGGCTGCTGGCTTTAACTGAGGTATTCTCGGAGCCCAGTGCCTGCCAGCCCCAGGTCATGTGGCACTGTGAGCTGCCCTGGGCTGGACATGGGGCCTCATCTGCAGGAGGGAGGAGGGAGGTGCTGCCCCGAGGCCCCTGGGGCAAGGTGGACAAGGACAAAGGACGGCTCTGATGGCACTGGCACAGCTCCAGGTGATAGCTTCCAAGGTGCCTGCTGGGGAGCCCTGTGGGACTGAGGGATGTGAGGGGCTGCTGTGTAGGAGTCACTGCCTGTCCTGTCCTGTGTCACATGGTGGCTGCAAGGTGTCGGGCGGGGCAGGGTGCCCAGGTGCCCTCAGCTCTACCGCGCTGGGGGTCCCAGCCTGTGTCAGAGGTCAGGTGGGCTGTGGTTCTCATGGACTGGATCTGGCCGCACCCACTGTTGGACCCTGCTCTCCTAGACCCTGTGGAGGGGTGCCCCCTGGTGGCCCGATGGCCTTCCTGTGGCCACCCCTGGGCTGTGACACTGAGGCGGAGGAAGCAGGTGGCAGGTGCAGGGCTCCTCCCCCGCCCCTTGCCCATGCGCATGTTCCTGTGCTGAGGCAACCCCTCCCCTTCCAGCCTGTGCTGCATCGCGCCTGTCCTTGCAGCCAAAGTGCTCAGCGGCGTTGAGGTCACTGTGGGCCACGAGCAGGAAGAGGGCGGCAAGTGGCCTTATGCTGGGACTGCGGAGGCCATCAAGGCCCTGGGTGCCAAGCACTGTGTGAAGGGTGTGACCATATCCTTTCTGGTGGCGGGTGGCCCTTCCCTGCAACCGCCATACTGACCTCGCTGGGAGGAGTGGGGCCCGGGCAGAGGCAGGACAAGCTGGGCCTGTGCTGGATGGCAAGGGGCCGGGTCCTGCACCCATCCGCTGAGCCGCTCTGGTGTTCTGAGGGGCAGC